ACTGAAAGCAAATGAACCAGTTTAGACATAACTAGATCCAACCTCTGATAAATTCGATGATTATTGAACATATGCAAACCATCAACTCGCTTGCACCACTTGAGAAGATCTCTACAATGAGGAACACAAGCAAAAAAGTGTTACAAATAACATTGGGGGGGGGGAGCAGCTGCAAGAAAGTAGCAACATGAAAGTAAAACCTTCTCTTACCTCAGCGAGAATCGATTAAGGGAGCCAGACAAAGATGAGGTTCCCAATTGAAAACTTCGAACTTGGGGTAAAGGAGGAGAGCTGACATTTTCAAATGTTTCTGCCAAAGATTGCATACGTTGTATGTAAGAAGCATCAAAACATAAATTCTGAATTCGGAGAATAGGAAACACAACATTGACCTACCTACAAGTCTTTTGGCAACAGGCACCAATTTTGGATACCATGCCTCCACAATATTTTGCAAGTCCTCATTATTTGATGAGCCAATCATAATTTTCCTCCAAGGGCCACCAAGTGCATTCCCACCTACAATCCAGAAAAAGAGATGCTTCCTCTAGTTGAACTGAAGAATTAAACTTTATTTTACAATCCAGAAAAACGTATTTGCACTCTACATTAATTATATAGAAAACCTTGGAGATTAAGACAACGTTTTTCTGTCTTTTCCAATAGTCTATTCCTATATAGATAATTTATAATAAAGTTAGAAATAGATGATTTCAATTATTTGGATCTCTAATTATTGGGCATGAATTGTATAGGGTGGAAGATTTTGAGTATATAATAGATTGTCTAGCAAATATGTAATACTTTTGTATATGGATTGCACCCCCTTGATGCTTTGTTAATATATTCATACCTCTTATTTCAAAAGAAAATATATAGATAATTTATTTTTAAAAAAATAAAATATATAGATAATTTATATTTGAGAAAAGAGAAAAAATATCGAAATGGAGGACAAAATATCGAAATGGAGGACAAGAGATCCTCCTAAGTGAAAAAAAAAAAGAACGTAGTCCATCATGATAGAACACTCCAGTTACTTAGCAATCAATACCCTCAAATTTTCGCCATAGCATAACAGAAAGACATATTGGTTAGGGACACACCCAGAGATATTAGGAGGGGGGTAAAGGAGTGGCAAGTAAATTTACTAAGAAACCTCAATGATTGGAAGATCAATTAATATATGTTAATCTCCTAGGTATCTTTGAATGGAAGTAATGATCAACCTCTGCGGAATCTTACTAATACAGGATCCTTTTCAGTCAAATCTTTCTACAAGAATCTAACTAAGCAGAAAATAATAGCACCAGTTTCTTTTTAGACAAATATGAAAGGTTAAAACTCCTAGAGTTGCTTTCTTTACATGGGATGCTGAAAGGGGATTCATTCCTACCATTGAAAAATATGATTAACCCACAGAGAGGAGAAAAAGAAAACAAAAACAAAAAAAACCTAGACATTACTCTTAAGGTTTTTAAGGTATCATACTTAAGAAATCTCAAGTATAAAATTTAAGAGTCCGATTACATCACACAACCAGAAAATTAAGACTCTGAAAATATTTTATATTAAACTTGAATGCTCTTCCTAAGGTTACAATCATATTTATACATTGCTAAGCAGGGCTTTTCTAAGTAGATCGGGAAATACCAAAAGTAATTTAGGAATACTACTAACAATTTAGGATATTAATATTAAAGATATTAAGAATACTAATCCTAATATAAATACGAAATTCTAAAACAAATAGGAAAACCAAATACTAAAAAAAATAAAATCCTAAAGCCACCAAAACTATAACAATAAACTCCAAATAATAAAGTAGTTTTATATTTACAAGAAATATAATTTTTCATCTACTTAGGCATAACTCATTTTGCATCATTCTCCTATAGTTGGAGAAAATTTGTCCACAAGTTTTGAAGTGATGAAACAATGTATAACCCTGATCCATGAGCATTCTTATGAAGACTTAACAAACTCTATGCACTATCATTGTCGTCAACAAACAAACATAATAGAAACACATAATTATCGATGAGTATGAAATTTTGGTGGGAGAATTAAATCAAAATATTAACCAATTTGCACTTGCAGTTATCTTTAAGCTGAACATCATTAGACCTAATTATAAAGTGTAGTTTCCTTCTCGCACTGAACTTCCATCGGACTTTCTTTAGGTAGTGAAATGTCTTGAGTAACCTCAAATCATATTATTAAGAAGACAAAATAGTTTTTCTTTTT